AACGACATCATATGATGACGTTCATCCGATAAAGGTTAAATATAAATTATTTTGATAACAGCTGAAAAAAAAAAACAGCAATTAGACACCTTACTTGCCACTTTCAACTTAACCAGTATTGTTCATTTCCCAACTAGAGTGCAAAATGGTGTGGCAACAGCTATTGACAATAGTTTTATTGATGTATAAAAAATGTAGATTACACCATATATCCTCATATAAATGGGCTATCGGACCACGATGCCCAAATCATCAAGTTAAATAATTTCAAAACACAAGGGCAGTATAATGTAACACAAATCATAAGAAATTTTAACAAAATCATCAAGTTAAATAATTTCAAAACACAAGGGCAGTATAATGTAACACAAATCATAACAAATTTTAACAAACATTCCTTAATTAATTTTAAGAATAAACTGAGTTTTGAGACATGGAATGATATCTTTGGAGGGAATGACGTTGACATAATATTTAGTAACTTTCTTAACGTATCCAGTTGTACTAAAAGAAAAAGAAAGAGTAAACCAAAAGGTAGCTAGCGCATGGTTAACAACAGGAATAAAGATCTCATGTATAAATAAAATAAATCTGTATTTACAGTGTAGAACCAGTAATGACATCAACTTAAAAGAATATTATAAACAATACTGCAAAATTTTAACTATGGTCATAAATGTGGCTAAAAAACTATATTATTATAGGAGGATATTAAACTCTAAAAATAAAATGAAAACTACCTGGAATATAATTAAAACTGAAAATAGGGGGAAAAAATAATAAAGAAGATACACAGTACTTGGATGTTAAGGGTAATACAACATCCAACCAACAAATTCTTGCAAATAAATTCAATGATTATTTTTTAACAATCGTTGATATCATAGATAGTAGCAGAATTAGTAAAACAGGTCAGCCAATTCATGACAATTATCTAAATTATATATTACAAACATACGAGGGCCCACCCCCAAATATTCGATTTAGACATACGTCAACTGGTGAATTAGAAGAAATTATTAAATCCTTAAAGGCCAAACATTCATATGGAAATGATGAAATACCAGCTATAATAGTGAAAGCAACTGCCCCTTTTATCAGCTCTCCTTTAACATGTATTAGTAACAAATCCCTTTCCTCAGGTATCTTGCCAACTAGACTGAAATTCTCAGTAGTAAAACCAGTATTCAAAAGTGGTGATAAACATAGTATTTCTATTTATAGACCCGTATCTTTGCTACCTGCCTTCTCCAAAGTTTTTGAGAAGGTAATATACTCAAGGCTCTACCAACATTTAACCATAAATAAGATGAAGAAAGCAGTCTTCTGGGATTTGGCACCGTGTATAAGTGGTGCCAAATCCCAGAAGACTGCTTTCTTCATAGTCACCGCCGTGAAAGCCTCAAATCTTACATAAATAAGATAATTTTCATTTTGTGCATCCTGTTTTGTTACAATATACAACTTCTTTATTGACTGTCACAACACAACAAACAGAAAAAATAAAGGTCAGCGCCCAGCTATATTTCGCTACATGTTTCAGCCACTAATGGCCATCATCAGGAAAACACATTTAACAAACGTATACCATTGAACTGAGTGTTATTAATCATTTAAAATACTTTGTGTAAAAATACAGTAAGTCAGATTATATAAAAAACTTATGTTATTGTATAAAACAAGATAAAATTGATGTTATATAACATCGAATCAGTCGCTGATATTTTACTTTTCACACGTATCCATGGACAAATTGGAAATTCGATATTTCTTTTATATAAGAATGCATAGGAGGCCCATGGTGTTGTAAATTAATTAATTGTATAGTCGGTGCCTCATCTTACAGAGAATTGTCCATAAGATGAGGCGAAATATAGCTGGGCGCTAACCTTCATTTTTTCTGTTTGTTGTCTTGTGACGGTCAATAAAGAGTTCTAAATAAGATACTTACAAGCGAACAATATACTTCACTATACTCATTACCTTTTATTCAGGACAAAAAATAGTTTAGAAACCAGTATCAGTATATGCTGTGGAAACAAGCATATTACTAACATGTCAAATATTAAGTTTCTTGGTTTACACATTGATGAAACATTATCATGGAAACTTCATATTGACCAATTAGTAACTAAAATGAGTTCAGCTTGTTTGCTATTAGGACAGCAAAAGGTTTTATGTCACAAGAAACTCTTAAGATGGTTTATTTCTCCTATGTGCATTCTATTATGGAATATGGTATATTTTCTGGTGTAATATGTCTAACCGTATCAATGTCTTTAGGATACAAAAGCAGATAATTAGACTTATTATGGATGCAAAAACTAGAGACTCCTGTAGAGATCTATTTAAAAAATTAAATATTGCAATGTGTTTCGTTACTGAAGACGCCGTACAGATTGTTAATTGGTTTATTCAACAACCTACAAGTAACAGCTACAATTAATTATCACAAAGTTGCGGGGTTTCACACTTTATAACCCTATTTACAATAATCTGTTTACACTGTTTCGGGGTTTCACGATTTATAACCCTATTCACAAATCAATTCACTCTGCCTTCAGCAGTCTACACATTCACAGTACGGGAGCTATGTAAGTGTCCCTGGATCACACACTCCCAATTACACAATTACACACATGTCCAGTACTTCTTTCCGCGATGGCTGCTATATTCAAACTCAACTTGTAGGCTGCTGCCTTGAGAACTGTTGATCACGCACTTTTACTCTTCGGCCGCTGATACACTTTAACTCGACAACAACTGAACTCTGCGATGGCCACATTTCAACTAGCTCACGCTTACTGCTCAGTCGGCTTTTATTCCGTTCGCTGTTGCCTGTTGCCTGCGTCAACAGTGTCATTGCGTGCCACGTCACAGTAGGAAGCGGTGCTACGTCGCCGTGTTTGCATATAGCCTAGCAACGCTGTTACCTCACACCGTCTTACGTCACTGTGCGGAAGGGGGGTGACGGAGCGCTGACTCACCCGCCACGTCACTGCTGGGGGGGGGGTGTTGGAATCTCAGCCATATAAAGAATTCAATTTGTAGCTCTTTTTCAGAACCCTTTGTATCTTAGCTTTCAGAGATATGAACTCACAAAGCAAGTTTGAAGTTGTGATAAACTTCCATATCAAACACAAGGGCAATGAGGAAAACCTCTACCCTTCTCTGAGCATTACACAACCTATGATAAAGCAACCCAGAGGTACAGCCCACTATGACAGCTGCACAATGATGGAGGAGATGATGGACGTCAACCAAGCCAGGACAGACATAAAGCTTAAGGAGCTTACGGAAAGAATTGGGAAAACACATAGGGAACTACAGTCATCGGAAGTGTCCCTCTGTGCGCGGACAGATAAACTCCAGGAAAACTTGATGAAAAACTATAATGAAACCTGCGCAGCAATTGATGTAGCCAAACGCAAGTTCCAGGCCCGGCTGGATGAGACGAGACAGACGAGGTCT